CATATATATATATATATATATATATATATATATATATATATATATATATATAGTCTTCCACTCACTGATTTGCCCTTCTCTAAGATCTCAAACTTTACGCTAAGGAAGTCCCTGTGTAACTCCATGGCCATGTGTTCAATGCCCTCTCCTTTTTCTTTTCCAGTGCTCCTGTGTAAGAGATAGTGTAATTGTATGTATATACTCATAGAACAAAAATATGGAAGAGTGAATTTTGTTCTGTCATGCTTTATATTCTGAATGTTTTCAATGAGCATACATTACTCTTGTACTCAGAAAAAAGTAAAAGTATTTGCACATTTAAAATTATTTTAAGGGTGGGCCGGCCGAGTGGCGTGTTGGTTAAGAACTGGCTTGGGATGCCAGAGGGCCCTGGTTCGGATTCCACATACGAGGGCCAGTGACAGTGCCCTCCACAGCTAAGATGCTGAACAACAGCTCAACCTGGAGCTGGGCTGCTGTGAGTCGCCAGGGATGGCGTAGGCTGCAGCCCCTGTGGCAGTGGGTTGCCATGGGCTACCGTGTGTAGCCGGCAGCCAGCGTGAGCGGCTGTCCAGGGGCCGGCGACTGGTCTGCCTCACCCTGGAGGAGCGCAATGATGGTGCCAGCTTGGACCAGTGAAACAACATCCTTCACAGCTAGACTGAAGAACAAAAGGACAGCGACTTGTCTGTTCCCCTCCCCCCAATTCCCCAGCACTGTTCCCCTCCCCCAATTCCCCAATAAAATCTTTTAAAAAAATGATTTTAAGGGCCAACCAAATGGCTCAGTTGGTTAAGAACTCGCTCAAGAGTGTGAACTCTGAGCAACAGGGTCACCGGTTCGATTCTTAGCCTGAGCTGAGCTGCCAACAGGTGGCAGGATGGCTCTGCTAAAAATAAATAAATAAATTAATTAATTAAAATAAAATGATTTTAATATTTAATTAGGTTTGTAAAAAAATGCAAGCTATCTTATATACTAATAGATACGGTTATAAATCCAGGTTCTTGCCAAATGGAAAGTTTATGATACATATAAAAAGTCTTAAATATGTACATTGGATGCTACAATTTCTCTTCTAGGCATTAATTCTAAAATACACATATATACTCACAATGTGATATGATCAAAGATGATTTTTTAAAAAGATTTTTATTGGGGAATTGGGAGATGGGAACAGCGCTAGGGAATTGGGGGAAGGGGAACCGACAAGTTGCTGTCCTTTTGTTCTTCAGTCTAGTTGTGGAGGACGTTGCTTCACTGGCCCAAGTTGGCACCATCATTGCGCTCTTCCCGGGCGAGGCAGCTCAGTCGCCAGCTTCTGGACGGCTGCTCACCGCGGCTGCTGGCCACACACAGTAGCCCAAGGCAACCCACTGCAGCAGGGGCTGCAGCCTACACCATCACCGGCGACTCACGGCAGCCTAGCTCCAGGTTGAGCTGTTGTTCATCATCTTAGCTGTAGAGGGCAGTGTCACTGGCCCTCATATGTGGGATCCGAACCGAGGCCCTCTGGCATCCCAAGCCAGCTCTTAACCATCACGCCACTCGGCCGACCCTCAAAGATGGTTTTTATACTGTGATTTATTTTAAATAATCTGAAATAACCTCAATACCAATAGCATACTGGATGTCCATAGAATAAACTTATTCAGCTTTTACAGGATGTTTTTGAAAAAAATTAATACCAGGAAAAATTGGCTATACACAAGATGTACTCTATCTAC